TAGAAGAGAGTGGAATGGAGGCGTGCTACTGAAGCCCTATGTTCCATTAGGAACCCAATGGAAAAAATATAATAATAATTATCGGAGAAATCTGAGAAATATTTAGACTTTCTTCGAAATAATATTCTCGAAGTTCCAATGAGAAGTTGTGACCGTTGAGGCAAACAAATTCGAACGTCAGGACAGTTACTCAACGACATCATTGAACGGAAGTTACGCTAAGTGGCGAACGGATAGAAATAGAAAAGTGATAACGGTTAGATTCCAACCCACTGGCTCATTGGTATAGTATTGGCCGTAGAACCTTAAAGTTCTGGTTTCGACCCTCGGTGAAGTAACGTGGAATACTGTTGAGGAGTCCTGAACAGCTGTCCAGTGCTGCTAGATTTCTAATGTTTCTCCAAATGATGTTCTTGATGAATATCAATTTAAAATCAATAAATAAATCCCCACAAATCTTCAAACTGAATTGGAAAAGAGTTGGCTGGTAGCATGAAACAGAAGATATGCTTTTGATTAATACCGTGCTAACATATTGAAGTCTAATGTGAATCAATGGGAAAAAATAATAATAACGGAGTTCATATTCACATATTTCACCTCGAGTGCATGCTACAAAGGTGACTCGGTTCAACTCTCATCCAAAAGGGATATTATGTTAGATAGGGAAACTAACAAGTTGAAAACACTATATAGGTGAAATTTGTTGGTAAATGTGTGAGAAATAATTCCAACTGTCGGTGTGATTATGACCAGACTTCAACTAACAAGACTATTTCGGAGGCGAAGAGGCTGACAAATCTGAGGATCTTCTGAACGCATTTAGCAAGAATCTGTATGTGGCTGGTATGCGTTTCGCGCTTGTCAAATATAAGATGCTGTGTGATTGGTCTTCGAATCTCCCCAATTTAACGATAGGGAATGAAGTGGTCGAATATGTCGACCACTTCACTTGCTTTGAGAGTTGCTTCAGCCCGAACGGGCTGGTGTAGGTCAGGTGAAGGTTACGAATTGAGACAAAGAAGCCGACTCAAGGGGCATTTCACATCGAGACAGGCGGTGGCTCAGCATACGCATCATGTGACCAAGCCATTTCAGTCGCTGAGGTTTCACAATCTCTTCTACCGATTCGCCTAGTACCAATCACCTGATCTCGACAATATTCATGCAGTTATTCCACAAAACGTGCGCAACGCAACGAAGACACCTATGATAAAAGACCTTTGACCGCTTCACATCTTCTACTTTTAGCAGCCACGGTTTGTAGCCATACAACAGGACAAAGTGGACTGGAGAGCAGAATACTTGTCTCTTGATACATAGTCGGATATCTCGCCAGCCTATACAGATGACGAAAGTTGCTAAATTCAGAATGGGCCTTCTTTATTCAAGCTAAGATTTCGTCAACAACCAGCTCAATCAGGCTGATTGAACTCCTCAAATAAGTAAAGTGGTCAACATATTCCACGAGTTCACCCTCTATCATTGAACTGGGAGTACTTGCAGGAGGTCAGTCCTGGAGCATCATCTTACATTTGACAGGTGCGAAACCTATGCCATCCAAACATACTCAGATTTCTGATGAGGGAGTTTAGAAAACTCTGCACTGTGTCAGCGTCTTCACACAGCAGGACAATTACGTCTGCGTATCCCCTGTCAACCAGATGCCTTCCAGGGAACCAGATCAAATTCGATGAAGTCAAGGGTACCTAGATTTGCACATACCTCAAAAAAGCTTTCCGACTGACTCAACTTTCCTACATGAGCGTTGCAATTGCCTGCTATTGTGATCACATGTACACGTCTGCTTTCGGTAGAATTCATCCTTTGCTTCGTCCTAACTGCATTCAGTAGGTGCGTAGGCACAGACAACCAATAGGCGTCGGTTGGTCTCACGATCCTTCCTACTTCTTACAGATCCATTCAGTCCAACAGCACACAAATGGCTGTTGACTGGTATCCAGTTGAGACATGCACTTTCTTCTCTACCACTCAATGCTTCGCTGGGAAGAAAATTTATCGATGGCTCGTAATTGTCTACGAATTCTTCTGACCTCTCAACACATACTACTTATGTGCATTCTTATCAGTAGCACCCACTGTACTCATTCTCCTGTCAAAAATTCGGGCTTGCAGCCATGCTAATTGCTTTGACACTGTCTTCTTATCGGGTTAATTCAAACTTTCTTTTTTTCCCACCGTCTCAACTTTTGAAGTAGGCTGGCGTCTACTCTTTGTCCCCTTTTTTGATGGTATAAACTGAAACGCGTCTCTCAGTAACAATGTATGGTCCTTCCCACTTCGAGGGCAGTTTTCTTGTACCATATTCACCTCCTGATGTTTATCCTCTTCGTCTATATTTCACTTGATCTCCGATCTCAAAGGTTCCAATTACTTCCTTGTCTCTGCTAGGATTTTTCAGCACCAGCTTTGTTTTTGGTTCCATATTTCTGATTGTCTGTTTCCGTTCATTTCTCAATCTTGTTATGTTCCATAGTTGTGGCTGTGACTAGGTCTCACTGTGTATTGGGAGCCATAGTTTCCTGCTATACATTAACTGAAACGACGACTTTTTGGTTGTTCCTTTTACGGAAGCACAATGCGCTAATCATATAAATGGCTGTTCTATCTCCCAGTTCCCTTCTTTCGAAGCCAGGAACTTCTTAAGTGTACGGTTATACCGTTCTTTCAGACCATTAGTCTGCGGGTAATATGTTGTTCTTATCCTTTTGATGCCAAACTGATCGAAGCAGGATTAGAATTCTCCATTCCCAAAACAAAGACCTTGGACTGTCAATATCATCTTGAGAACACCGTGATCCGCGACAATATGCCGCATCACTGCCGTAGTCACTGTCTTCGCGCGTTGATCAGGGATTGCGACAGCGTCTAACCATCGTGTAGCAACCTCCGTCATCATCAACAGGTACTGGTTGCCACTACGTATCTGTGGAAATGGTCCCATTACGTCACCAACTGCTGCTACTGGAACCTACTAAGACGGTGGCAGTATATACCAATGACCTTTCATCAACTGGCAGTGTGGACAGCCTAGAAAGTATTTGGCAACATCTCTCATACTTGGCCAGTGTGCACTTTTTCTTAGAAGGTCGACTGTCTGTACGACACCTGTATTGGCTAACTGATGTCATTCTTGCATCATTTCGTCGTGTAGGCATTTCGGAATTACTGCCAGCCAGCTCCCGTCGTTTTCTCGCCAAGTCAGCATTCTATAAGTATTCACGCGTAGGCGTTGTTTCTGCGTCAACAACGTTCTCAACTCTTTATTTCCCATAAACTTTTTTATCTCCGTTCCTTCGGTTATGGCTTGTATCACTTCCTTAAGTGTAGGGTCCGACTTTTGAAGGCAAATAAGTCTTAATGGGTCCTTTTCTACTTACTGCATGTACACTGTATGCGATCTCATGTGGTTCATTTACTTCGTCAGATCTCGATAGGAAGTCTGTTAGCCAATTTTTTTCCTCTGAATTGTGACCGGCTGTGAAATCGTACTCTAGCAGTCATAACATCCGTGATAATTTTCCTCTGGAGTTTCTTTCTGTTTATAACCATGGTGGAGGTTTGTGATCAGTTTCAATATGGAATCGTTGACCAAGGAGGTACGATCTCCATTTATCAAGTACTCAAACTATCGTCAGACATTCCTTTTCATCCGTTTAATGTTTCTATTCTGCAGGTTTCAGGACACGGGAAGCATACCCCACTTCTCCTTCAGTCTGTCTCAGAACTGCACCTATTCCATAATCACTCGTATCGGTGGACACAATGAATGGCCTCCCGGTAATTGGTAGGTTTAAAGTCATCTGTTGGTCATTTAGGAGTTCCTTAATGTGAACAAACGTTTTTTGGGCCCCCTCTGTTCACCTAAATTTGAGGCAACCAAGTAGATTGTATAAAAGTGATGATATCTTGTTTAAAATTTCCTCTGGGCAGAATATTTATCCACCGCCCGTAATTACCTATGACTTCTTCCGATCTCTCAACATATACTATTTACATGCATTCTTATCAGTAGCGCCCACTACACATGCACAGAAAAACAAAATTCGTTCTTAAGTCGCTTGTCTTACATGCATGAACTAACAGATTATGGCGACAACATTTAATCTCATCTTGTTATCATTTTTGTATATATGTATGAACAACGTGATCTGATTTGTTACCATTTACTAAATAAACATGCGATAATTTGTAAAGGTTTTATTCTCTGTGGAAGCGGGCTTTCAAAAAGTCGTGAAATTTTAGAAAATTACTACTAATGTGCCCCACTGGGCTTCTTCAAGTATACTTGAATTACAATACCATAGTCGGACAACCAAAGCTATTTTCGATAGTCTGATATATATGTTACCTTGCTAAGGTTTTATTGACAGTATATGGCACTTATAAACATGAATGTAAACAGAATGATGATGCGATATCATCAGATAAAGTAATAGAGATGGATATTTGACTAGTGGAGGTTCCGATGAAATAAACGGGGGATATTGGACGAAAATATTGTCAGCAAAATAAACTGAAGGTTATCTCACCTGATAAAAAGGAATAATTTTAAATTTGGCACTGAATACAGTGTTCTATAACATTCCTGACAAACATTTACAGCAGTCTACAACAGTGCTTATCTGCATAACATCGCAGGTAACGTTAAATTGAAACAGTGCGTAGGCTATCGGGATTTTATTCCATACCGTTCATTCAGTGAGTTCAACTGACGCACTCAAAAGTATACAATTAGTCTCATAAGTAACTCTGAATCGATTTGAGTTTCCATTCAACAACTTTAAGACTATCTAAGATAGCTTTGGTTGAAAGACTAACTTGCAAGCAGGCCAGATTGATAACTCAAGTTGTCAGACAAAAAAAACACCAAGACATTTGAGGGGAATTTTGCCATAGCTGCTTCTGTTTTTCTGTATGAGACATTTAAGTGTGGGGTGGTAATTGGAAACAAAACATAGTTCAATGGGGTTGAATATCTTTGGAACATGTGAGTACATTTGGATATTCACTACCATTGAGTGACCTAGTTCAGTTCTTAAAATGACTTCATAATTCTCTTGATTAAATTGAAACTCATGTCTGGTTGACCAACACTTAGGTGACTAGCGAATAGCCATTACAAGTACGATGAACAGTTGAAAAAAAAATGTCTAGAAGGTTATATACGAATGAAAAACCATAATCAGACTGAAACTAACACACTAACGTATATTCGTTGACAGATAAAAAGCAAATATACGGTTCATCGACAATTCTGATTTTCTTTTCATAAAGATGACATTTGCCTTTTACACTACTGAAATGATATATAGTAGTATAATGCATACTGATAAAATGAATTAGTGAGTAAAAGTATCCATCTGAAAGACAGGTGTATTTAATAGGTCAACCCACTTGTGTATGAATTAACCAAGATCTACAAAAAAAAGCCCAGTTCATTCATTCGCATTAAATAACATGCACCCTGAAACATATTATCACATAAAAATTCAAACAAACCCAGACAAACAGATGTAAGTTCACATACACGATTGTGCGATGAAATAGATAGAAAGTAAGGAAATTAGTACAACAAAAGATTACAGAGGTGAAAGTATAGAAGACAAGCAACATTTGGTCATGTGTACATCGTGTAAATAAGTCACGGGATGATGGATTATGCGATAATTTATGGCATCGTTTACAATTTATCATCGGTCACCAATGGAGTAAAGAAAGATATACGATGAACTCTAACAAAATGGAGATGAACTCTTAAACAAATAAAGAAAACTAAATTGACGAGAGATTATGGAGGCTTGGCTGCCAAGTTAGTTGACGAGTGAACAGGAGACTGAGGATTGAGTGATGACACGCTAAAACGTCTCGGAGATGAAGACTCTTCCCGTTGACTATTTGATGGGGTTGTACTAAAATATGGTGCAATATTTTTATTCAATAATGTGTGACAAACATCGCATACAACAGCTGCATGACCAAATGGTCCAGCAGGCATAGTATTCTTCATGCAACTTGAACAATGAACCTTACCGCAATGACGACAATTGATCTTTTTCGATCCACTTACAATCCCAGTTGGGAAGAGGAAATTACACGCAAAACAATTGGTAACATCATCAGGATTAACCCAGCGAACTTCTTGATCTTGTTGTCGCAGTCTTTCTAACTGAACCTGAAAAAAAACAGCTCACAATTACTTAAGTAAGTGCAAAAAAAACAATAAATTATTACTACTGTTATTACGACTTCAACAAAGACCGATACGATTGACAAAATCAACGTAGAACCTCACCTCATAGACAAGTGTATCGGCTTAACTTACCACATTTCAAAGTAGTGGATAGAAAAGGAGTGATATCAAAGTAGACAAAACCGTATGAGGCAATAAACTATTTGAAGATAACGGTTAGTGCAAATATTCAGCTTTAGAAGATACCAACGAGTGAATACATCTGCTCTATTGTGACCGATTTTAAGCCTTATCACCACTGATTCCTATCATCTCATGGACCTCAACCAGGCAGTCTACATCACTCACACGACTCATGCCAATAGTAAGAGACTTCATCGACTGGTGTTGCATCTTGCTCTGGCCACCCTGAAGTCTTTTTCGACCTAATCCAGCTTGCTCTAGCATGGCACGTGGAGTTGGGTGGTGGTTCGACATATGCAGTAAATTCTCAAGCCACATCAGCCGATAAGGGTTCACAACCTCACCAATCGGCTTGCCTGTCTTGACCTAGTACGGATATACGTCAAAAGTATAAGTATTACTAGGGAAATGAATAGCCAATTGAATTATTTCTATACAGCAATGAAAGCCGAATGGGAATACTTCCGATTCACGACAGATGAATAAAAGCGGAACCTGGTACAGAAGTGTAACACTCTCTACAACAACATAAAGGAAGTAAGTAGGCAGAAGTAATAAAAGTATATCAAAATAAAAAAAGGGAGTTTGGTACTAGAGAGACAATAAATATATAAAGGTTTACAAAATGTCTAATTTTTTGATGGATAAGGGCTAATACATCTGACCTACTGTGATCAATCCAAACAATGTAATCCAAAGTTTAGAATCACTGATTCGTAATTTCTGGACAACCACAATCAAGCGCACCTTAAACTTCTGATATACCTGAAGGTCATGTTCATACGCTTAATAGATTGATTGTCTGACCACTTTTAGCTTTATTTCAACCGAGCCGTACATTGGCTAACATCATGAGTCAAAGTAGCTGATGGATATGCGTGTAACGCATGTATCAGTCATTCAAGGAGACGGAATGCCCCTTCCAATATGCTAAGAATAGAAATAAATGAATTACAAACGTCATATATTTGGAATTGTTTCATTTCCATCAGCTATGATGGTCATGCATCACAGCCATCAAGTAAGACAGACAGAACAGATGCACAATACACTGAGACTTTAATAGGCAAACGTGCAAGTTTCCGGAGCCAAAGATGATGTGGGTTGACGGGAGCCAAACAAACACTTAACACCCAGATCCCTTCAAAGAAAGCAAATTTATCTCTGAAGAGCATAAGATAAGCAGAGTTGTACTTACCAGTGGATGCATAACAGTTAAACTAGGATGGTGAGAGTAGGTACCCTCCTTCCAGACACCTACGGTTGGTTTCACCTCCAATGACAACTCTCCATAAGCGCCTACGCGATTACGTGGGTTCTAGGAGAGAGCACAGGTCAGAAAACTGTTTCTTTTCTGTACTCTGCTTACCATCATGTCTTCGAAATGACTAAGTGGGATGCTACTTTCGGATTGCTAAATATGTAACGTATCAGACCCCAATAGATATGCCTATACACTAGAGTCCGTCGCATGGTGAAAATCTGATCAATTCACTCAAGGAGTTTTCTCGGGTTCACTCCAGTTAAGCATCGAATAGCTATGAACCTTAGAATGTTAGACACCATACCAGCGGTTATTTAGAGGTAAACTTGTGTCGTATTGTATAACCTGCAGTGATTAACAATCTAAGCGAGTTCGATGGAAGAAATGTCATTTAATATTGATTCCTACAGAACATGTAAAAGCAATTGGCATAAATAATAGGATTATAATTTTCAAAAGGAAACAAAACGGCAATTAACAGAACAAATATCCACACACACACACACACACACACACCTGAAGACTTTGTGAGAGACGGACAAAATCAGCCTGGACAGATTCAACATTATCCAGATCATTTTGTAGTCTGGCAACTTGTTCTTGGAGGTCAATAATTCGTTTTTGAGCTTCAACCAAGTTGGATTCAGTTAACTCGTATTTAACCTTCGAAAAATAAATAAGCAATATGCAAGTGTTACTATTGGTATGCTACAGGGTAAACATTTATATCATGTAAACATATCTCGTCAGGGAACAAAATATATAAAAAATATCTTCCCCCTGAAGAACTGATTCAGAGTCTTAAACAGTGCACATTGTCATGTGCTTTTGATAGTAGAGTAATTCAATCCTCCTTTTTAGCTATTCCTCCTGGTGGTAGTGTTTTCGAATTTCTCAGGTGACGAAAAAGATCACATTTAGAGGCATGTAATGAGTCCATGGCTGAAATAATTAGACAACATATTTGAATTATATAATAGCAACACTACAAAGCATTTACAACACTCATTGTGACTTATATTTGAAACAGTGGAGTTGATAATAACTTGCTTCCTTATACTGAATTGGATGGAGACTGTAACCAACCTTGTTGTTTATTTAGTGCTCTCTGTATACACAGACGTAGTAGTATACAAAAGACAAACGACTATTTTGTCAACGATATTATTTCAACTTCAAAAACTCCGCAAAAAAAAAATAGACTTGAATTTTTTAGTTGCCCTGGCTTAGGCAGCAATAACCGCTTTTGAATAGGCTGATAATATTGTTGGATGTGTATGATGGAGGTCATGTTGATCTAGGTAGCAGCAATAATAGCTTTAAGAAAACCGGTAGACATATCATAACAGCTAGAGAAACAATTCTTTGGAATGATGATCAATTGAACTGCAAGTCATCGATCAACGTGTGAAATAGGTGTTAACCTCATCACAGAATGATATCAGCTATAGAATCATTGAGAATCACAAATCAGCCTTTCAGTTGTTGTATCCCCTAGAAAAGCAAGCCAATTCAAATTCTAGCTCAAAATGTCATCTGCTTTAGGTGTTACAGTTTGAAAAACCGATAAGAGTGAAAAAGTGAAAAAACAATATTTCATCCCGAATTGAGAAAGAGAGAAAGAGGACCGTCAAACACCAGTATCAAATATCTGTTCTCAATCACAACTTGATTTCTGAGGTTATGAATTCTACTTGAATGTTGGAAGAAAAGTCCATCTCAAAGTTATTCAATAATAAAGAATAAATTGTCACAGTATACCGCAAATAGACAAGAATTAGAAAATGTCAACTAGTGAATTCCAATTTCTTATTGTTTAAATGGTAGTATGCTCATTACAAGATCGGAATATCGAGAGCTCAATAATGTATAGATATGAAGTGACATGCCAGTGAGGAGTTTCCAGTCTAGGACAAAACAGTTTTAAACTACTCTGTGGTTTCAAGTCTAAAATGTTTCAAAGTAATTTCAAAAACAACGGAAATATATTTCATATGGAGGTGAAACCTTGTAAATAACTGATTAACTCATTATATATTGACAATATTAATGCCACTCCCACGAACAATAATAATAAACGAACCTGCACTTCATTCAGTTTCGATTTGGATGATTTCGCTTCTTCTTCGAATTTCTGCCTTAAAATAACTTCACTATCACGTTCATTTGAAATATTTACAAGACTAGCGAGACGTTTACGCGTATCCTCTAGTTCTTGTAGAGCTGAAGATTCAAAATTGAGACGTTCTTGATGTTCAGCAGCCAACCGTTCTTTAAACGAGTCAGTTTCATTTCTCAATCGCTCTTCTAAGTGATCACGCGCTTCTCTTAAGTATTATTTGATTCAGAGAAGAGAAAAAAAGAGAGACAGAACAATGTGAAAGTCGATAAGAATGAATCAGGAAACAGAAACGCGTGCAGTAATATAAATCTCAGTAGTTTACTTGTTACCTTGGTGTATTTTTTAGATTTGAGTTCTAAAAATTGAACATTATGTCCTCTCATACGATTTCCAGTCACTAGTGATAAGGTGTTCTCCGTACGGATATAGTTCTATTAACAAAAACACCCCACTC